TGCAGCGGGACGAGGCCGGGCCGCAGCCAGGAGGGGCGGCGGGGCCGCGGCCGAAGCGCCCGGTGCCCCGCGGGGAGGCGCCCCCGGCCCCCCCGAGGCCCCTCGCCCGCCCCCCCGCCCGCGGCGCCTACCCCGATGAGGTAAATGCGGTCCAGGCTGAAGCTGGGGATGATGGCGACCGGCTGCTGCTCGGCCAGGAACTCGACCTCGGCGGCGTCCATCGGCACGAGAAAGGGCGGCGCGTGCCCATTGGCTGCGGAGCAGGACGCCCCGCCTCTCACTGCGCCTCGCCCAATGAACAGCTCCCTACGGGCGGCCCCGTCCGTTGGCTGCGTGCGAAAGAAGCGGCCCCGCCCATCGCTGCGCTCTGCGGCCAATGAAAGCCTCGGCGTTTCTTCGATCCATCCGCGCTCGCCTGCCATTGGCTGGGGAGGAATGACGAGCTCGCCCGCTATCCGCTCCTCGGCGTATGAGACCTCGGCTTTTCCTCTCGCGCGAAGACTTGGCTTGAAGTAGCTCTGATTGTCATTGGTTAGGAGAGGAAGAGCAGCTCCCGCCCACCTCTTATCGTTGGCGTATGAAAGCCTCGGTTTTTCCCGGCTGGTTCACTCTGTCCCCGCAACAGCATCTGCCATTGGTAGGGGAAAAAAGCAAACTCCGCCCACCGCACGCTCTTCATCCAATACCCCTCTTGCTTTCGCGCGTGAGCGCACAGCTATTGGCTAGAAAGTTGGCTATGTTTGTTTCTCACCTTTTCCCGCTTTTTCATGCGACGTGCCTAGCTCCTGTTCTCTGATTGGATTGCTCGCCAGATACTTGTGCCTGATTGGCCAGTGTTCGTGGGCAGGGCTTGCCAACATCAGCTCCCCGTTCAGTGGCTTGCAGGCGGCACCAATGGGAAAAGCACAAGGCATTCTTGAGTCCCGCCCACTTGTTTTCCCCAGTATACTGCCTCTGATGCGGCGGATTATTTATTTCTTTGTTTATCGCCGCACGGCTAAGGCTCTCTGGGTGGTTTACACAGTCGGTAAAAATAGATGCTCTGTCTCATCAGGCTTGCTAGGACTGCACCTCCAGGATTTGTGCCAGGGAGGCTGAGCCTTGCACTCCTGCTCATCTGGGCCATTCAGCTCCCTTGGAACTTGCTGTGCCAAAGGTTCTGCTCATGCAGTCATAGGAACTTGGGTGGTGGTCCCAGGAAAATGCTCTGCAGCATCTCTGATTTGCACAGACTGAATGGGGTACTTCCGCAATGGCGGACCAGATTCAGCCCTGCTCATGTGTTGGGTCCTGACAGTAAACAGAACGCTCCCAGCATATCGAATGCTGCATCTTGGAGATGGCACATGTGTTTTTCAATTCCTTTGCTAAACCCAAAAAGAAAGGTGAAAAATTCCCATATTCTTCCTAATTGCTACCCCCAAAAGACACACAATGTGCACATAACGCAGAAACTGTTTAAGGAAGAAACCACAAGCGTGATGCAAAGTTAATGTATGTACATTCATATGCGATGTCCTAAACGTACGTACGCGCTCGCACGCGTGTGTGTGTGGTTTTTTGTTTTGCCTTGGGCAAGACACACAGAATCCACTTAGGCCAGAGGAAATGCAACACACAAATGAGGATGACAGAGGGAACCCACACACACGTGCAAACTGCATTTGTACACGCAAATTTATGCCAGTGGCTGCAGTTCTGCAGTCTTCGGCCCTCAGAGCAGACTTGCCCATCTTCCAACGCAGGACTGTCCCCTGCTGGCTGGCGAATTGCGAGGAGTACCCTCCGTAAAGGGGGGCCCCTGGACGGTCCCAGGAGGTCCACAGGGTCACCGCTATCACCACCAGCCCCTCTTGCCTCTCTTTCCCATCACGACTCCGACTTGCTCGCTCGGCAAGCGAAGAGCAGCGGCAAGTCAGCTGCCACACCGCCTCCCCCCACACATTGCCTGGGCAGGGGCTTTTGCCCGTGGGCCCCTCTCGGGGTGGGAGCCCTTAGGAGCTGCCCCGCCAGGCCCTGCCCTGCCCTTGAAGCCCGGCGGTGGTCCTCGGCCAAGGCTGCAGAGAAAGGAAACTTTCATTAAGGGCTAATTTGCAGCATTGTCTGCTGAGCTGCCAGGTTGCCAGCTCACCATGGAAACAGAAAGCACTCCAACTATATTAGCGGTGACTCGTCTATCGACTTGCCTGTGGAGAGCAGGCCTGTTTCGCTGCTTTCATGTCCCAGCAGCCGCCCCAGATGCCACGGGGAGAAGCGGCGAAGGTGTGCCGCCACGTCACCTCATCTTCCAATCCGCGTGTCCCTTCTTCCAAAAGGGCAACACCAAGGTTCTCCGCTGTGCCCAGACCAAGACGAAAAGTTGCAGGGAAGAGTAGCCAGAGTGACCTTTCTCTTCCTGCCAGAGAGGTCCTGCAGGGTCTGGGTCACCCCCACTCTCCCATCCCCTTTTCTCTCTCCTGCCCTGCCCCGCCGTTCTGATCACAAAGGCCGGTGCATTTCGTGCTAAACTGTCCGTCCGTTGACTACTTAAGGGAGTTCTCCAGGGTCTCTTTAGCCCAAAGGGTGCAGGGATATGTGCACCAGAATTCTCCCGATTTGTCAGCAAAATGCCACTTCCTCCTTCTCCTGAGGACGTGCGGCACCCGTAAAACAAGTCCACGAAGCAGCAAGGACGAGACAACCCTGTGCTAGGGCGCTCCTCAAGCACCCTCGAGAAAGGTTTGGAGGATGGCAATAAAAGAGAGCAGGGGCTCTTTGGTGGTGCTCCCAGCCGGTGGAACGCTCTCCCCCACAGCTCTGCCTGCCCTCTGCCCTGCTTCTTCGCTTCAAGGGAACACTTCTGGGGGTTGCCTTCTGGGGGTTGCCTTCAGTGTTCAGCCGGTGGGACCAGTGGTGAGATGGGCAATGCAATGCGCAGGGATGCGGGCCAGCGCTGCATCTCTCGGGGGGGGGGGGGATCCACGCTCCGGGAACAATCGTTGCCAAGCCATTCCGCTTGCGAGCTCTTCTGATGCAGCGCTGCACCGGCTTCTAACGGCGTAGAAAAACTACGCAGTATGTTGGTTGAAATTCAAGGCTCTTGGGCCTCGCAATGTGAACAGCGAAGTTGCTTTTAGCACAAGTCTTTTGAGAGCAGGGGTAGGAAGGCATGGAGAAGGCCTTGAAGATGCCATCGCCAGACTTTCAAACCATCACAACAACACTGCAATAAGCTATGGCTGGCATCGAACCCTGGACGGGGCTTGAGCTTTGCCCCATCCTGACTAACCTGAGGGTCAGTTCCTAATTTAGGCTGGCTGCAAACGGCACGGATGGCACAGTGCTTCCCCCTAGTGGCGAAAAGCGTTATCGCAGGCTTCAAGCATAGGATACATTAAATTCGTTAAAACGAATCAATGATGTGTTTCAACAAATAACAGATGAAAGAATAAAAGAGCTGTCTTTGCTCAGGATTCATTTAAAACGGACAGCAAGTTTCAGGTGTCTACGTTTTACAATCTTGGTGCTATGGAACTGGGAAATGGACAGAAGAATTCTTTGATTATTATAAATTAGTAAGGTGGTGGTTGTTTTGTTTTGTTTTTTAAACAAACCTAACAAAGCAGGAAATGGAGCGGCAATGAGCTGCTGCCCTTGTCCAAGAAGTTTTTCAAAACGAAGTGCTAAAAAAATTCTGCTTCAAATCTTGAAAGAGTCACCTGGGCCTCCTCCTTCCCCCAAAATAATTCTCGCTCTGTCCCCTTTCTCTGCCTCCAGTCGGTGCACGTGTTTGTAGCATTTGCTTTGGCTAGAACCCAAAGGAAGAGCTTTCTCTGCCTGCATTTCACTGGATCGAGCTGCCTCTGCCCAAAACAGGAGCTCCCCCAGTCAAAGAAAGAGCAGGAACCCTAAACATCCCTTCCCACCCTGGCCACCCCCACCCCTCCAAACGTCCAGGAGGAAGTGTTGCCCACGACCCATGCTGGATTTCGGGACATCACAGAGGGTATTTTAAACCCTTCTTTCCTGCATCCATTTCTTCAACAGCAGGCCAGTTTCCCAAATTATCCTTTCCAGGATTTGGTCACAGGGAAAGGAACCCGCTGCATTGAAAGCCCATTGCCTGCCCGCCTCTGGGAAACAGTCATCGGAACTTTCCAGACCTCGTTGGAATGCTCTGCAGTGCAGCCAGGCAACCTATAAATGGTTCTGACATGGTGTGAATACACTTTTGTGCCCTTGCCATCTGCTGCTGCCATTAAGAAATACACTTCCAACTGCTTTTACACCCCCTCCTTACGCACACGCAGCTCCCAGAGGCTTCCATGAGCCCTCTGCCTTAGCAGCGACATCCTGTCATTTTCTAGGGTGGTAACTGCTCTCAGCTGGGCCTGGGGCACGGGTCTTGCGGCTTGTCCTTCTGCAGCAGATGCTACTTTTCTGTCATGGGAGGAGACCTCTCAGCTTTGCCTGCCATTCATCTAGGCCTCTCCGGCTCTCTCGTTTAGTCTCGACTTAGAACCCACATCGGCGGGAAAGCAAACCCAGGGAGGGCTGTGAGGAAGGCCAGCTCGAAGGTGGCTGCATAGCTGGTGAAGCCCATTGGGCCGTGAATCCACTTTGGCTGAACCTCCAAGGAGCTGTCCATGAAGCCAAGCGCTGTCCCCAGGTTCAGCGTAGCACTGTGGATGGCTTCCGAAGGGTTCACACTACAAGTCGGAATGGATACACAGCCCCACTGATATCACAGCTACCGGCTTAGAACCAGGGCTCTCAGGACCAACACCTTTTCCCTAGAACGACAGCATCAGAGAGACTTGCAGGAAACACTGCCCTGCAGCAACTTGGCAAGGGCATTAACTGACTTACTGAAAAAGTGCGTGAACAGATTACGTTGATTCTTGAGAAAAGCGTAGTCTGGAAGCACCCTGAGTAAAGTAGCCACACAATTAACTTACTATTATTACGTAGCATTTGCATGCCACTGTTTTCCTCTTGCAAGGAATCCAAGCCAGCTGCAGGTTTTTCCTCCTCTCCGTTCTGTCCGCACAACAACCTTAAGAGGTAGGCTGCACGTTTGTGGCTGTCGCAAAACCGAACAACACTCCTTGAAGTCAGCGGATCCAGTTCTGATCTCTAGGTGAAAAAACAGTTCTCAGACACTGTTCATGGTTGATTTGACCTGATTTCAACAAAGCAGACAAGAAATGCATAAAAGCAGGTGGAAACTTTTAATGTGTAATAAAACCAAGATGCTTTATACATACCCCCACCACGGACTTGGAAAGCCTTATCTTTAAAAAGAGAAACAAAAGCAAGCATGCCAGTTCATGCTGGCTAAAATTCATGCTAAGGCTGAAACAAACGATTCAGCCTGATTTCACACAGAATGCTTGCATCCCGTGTCGTGAAAGAATTGAGCAGCGATAATGGGGAACAATACCTGGAAAGTGACGATATTGATTTCAAATATTACAAAAAGGGGGAAGGTAGGAAATTGCATCCAATTTTCTTATACAGTGGATAGCAATCGATTAGATATGCAAGATTCTAATGCTCATTCCAACCATCAGTCCATCTCTTGGAAGTGCAGTGAAATTCCCTAGATGGTGCACGGTTGTATACAGCGGCTGGCTGGGTTTTATTTGCCGCACAGATGGGAAGATCTCGATGCAGCTGAAGTCAAGTCCAACCTGATGGGCTGTTGGAGGTTCACCTGATGCTGAGACTGAAGACTTGGTTGTGGAAAAATACAGAGATGGGTCATTTGCAAAAACCATCGACTACAGCCAGCCGCCACTGAGCGTGATCCTGTGCCGTCTTTGCTCATATAACGGTCAATCAGGACCCTTCGTGCAATTCGTGTGTGGATGTTTTCTCTCACCTGTTGTGCAGTGCCATCCTCATGGCTGCCCTCGGCAAAGGCATGAGATCGTGGCAACGATTCCATTTCTCCAGCGCTCCCACAAGGCGCTGTGGCGGCTGGGACGGGACCGTCCCCTGCGGCAACGGCCTGCAAGGGTGGGCTGTGGTTGAGGCATCACTCAGAACACAATCCTCCAGCTGCGCACCCTTCCTGCTGCGTTCTGCCTTCCTTTAAGCTGCTTTGTTTTTTACTAGGGCAGGGCAGGCTTATCTCCACCAAGAAAGATTCACCCAAATCGTAGCGTTTCCTCCTTTCTGTTCCACTAAATCCTGCCCTGGCAGAACCCTGCTCCGGAGGGGCAGAAACAAGCGGTGGCTGCTGCAGTCACTTTCGGCCCTTATCGATGGGAAACAGCCAGTCCCTGCGCAGTCCCTGGGAGACATTTTACTGCTCTGCTCACCAAACCCTCCTGCTGAGCCATCTTTCCTGATGGATTACGGGTGGCGAGGAAGGACATTTCTACCCATTCCCCAAAGGCAGGAAAGGGCAGGATAAACAAGAGAGGCCTCGCCAATTTGCATTCGAATCGACTGAGGCCTCGGCTAAGGCAGGTTGTGTTCTCTTGCGAGGGTGTGCCTTGTCCTCTTACACAGAGGGCAGCGCTCTCTTCCAAAGCTCCCTCTGTTTGCAGAGCTGTCCAGCCCAAGTCTGCTCTGAAGAGAAGCGCAGCGAAGGCGAGCACAGGCCTTGGCACTGCCCATCATCCCCTGGGAGCACCTGGCCACGAGGCGTAGCAGGTGCGTGGGTCACCTGCCACAGTCTCCCTCACTCTTTGAATTATAGGAACTCTTTCTAGCTTTGCATATGAATCAACACATGCAAGTTTCATGCAAACCCTGTGTCATCTTTTGCCTTCCCCTGGCGATGCGCAGGGGGCCTCGCCCTTTTCCCCGGGCCAAAGGGTGCCACCAAGAAGCCAGGCCTTCCGCATCGAGGAACGTCTGCCCCTGCTCCCCTCTCCCCCCCTGCAACTTTGCCCACCCCACCCACCCTGACGGCCTCGCTCCTTGCACACTTCGAACGGTGCGAAGGTCCGCACGGTGAGGCCCATGTGGCTCCATCAAGGCATCTTCCCCAAGCCTGCTGGGAGGAAGAGGAAAGCAAAGGGAGGAGGCTGCAGGGAAGTCCAGAGGCACGGAGGAGGTCCTGAGGGGGCCGTTCGCAGAGCCGGGCTCTTGAATGGCAGTTGCACAGTCCTGGTCGCTGCGTCTCCAGCCATCTGGCTCAGCAGTTCTGCCGGGCTTCCTCCCCCGCCTGCCTGGCAGCGTCGCCCGACAGCGCCCTCCCCGTGGGAGTGGGGGGCGTGATGATGATGTCTGGGACTCGCAGGTGCTTGACGGGCCCCTGGCTGCTGACACCAGCCGCGCTCCCTCTGCTGACGCACGTCTTAAAGCCTGAGGGAGGGAGGGAGAGACAGAGAGCGTCAAAGCACAGCACCTCTCGACTCTCGTCAGATTAACTGAAGTGTGTGCGTTTGCGGGGCACGAAGCAGCCTGTCCTCCTGGCAGGGTGGAGAAGGGTCAGGAGAGAAGGGGAGAAAATGCTTTCCATGGAGTCTGCTGGTTAAAGAACTGAGCATCGCAGAAATGCGCGCCTCTGCATGAATACCCCTAAAGGCCCCCAGTGGTGAGTTCACATGGCACGACGAGCCCGTCTTGAGACGCAGCAAAATTAGGCTCCTGGGTGGCGAGGTGGGCACCAACCCCAAAGGGCCACAGCATGGGCCACCCAGGCACCAGCCAGGACAAGTGCACCGAAGCGTGTCTGCCATACTGGCCGACTGACTCACTAGCCACGTCCTTGCGCTCAGGATGGGCTCCAGCGCCTGCATTAGAAGACGCAGCAACCCATCCTGAGTCCAGGCACCCCAACACCCAGTGCAGGGAGGCTTGTTGTTTGCACGACACGACACTTCGGCCTCTTCTAAACAGAATCCAACAATGAAAATCAAGCAAGGACACCTCGTTTTGCTAACCATCACTCTGCCCTGTGCACACCCCCTATCCTAATACAGGGGTAAAATACCATTGAAAAGA